TCTCACATCCGTCTGCAGAATTCCCGAGTAATTTGCAATACTACGAACCACCGATTCTTCTCCCCTGTCTCATTCCTACTCAAGATGGATTCCGAAAGGCCACACTTCGCCTTTGCCTCTTTTTCCACCGCTTATAGGCCGCACCTAGCTCTTGACCTACAGTTTAAGGGTGGGAAGGGCGAGATGGGCCGCAAAAAAATGAGGAAAACTGTTGAGGGGGGAGAGGAGGTGCGTTACGTATTTCAAGAAAAAAAATCTGGGAAATTTAGAAATAAAAAAAATTAAAAAAAAGTATACAGTACAATACAGTATTAAGAGAAATTCTGAACCACCAACGATGTAAAACCCATAAAAGTGCGAAGTAACACAGTGTTTTTATATAAGGTGTGAGTACGCGTAGAGCTTAATCTGTGGACTCTTTTCACGATGATATAGTCTCATCTTGATTATGGGCCGCATAATTGTGGCCTACAACTGCGGTGCGGCCTATAATTAAACATTTAGAGAAAGCAGTCTGCCCGAGACTTTTCCAGGAATTTTTTGGAAAATAAAAAGACGGCGCGGCCCATACCCTCTTTATTGAGGTATACCTGTCGCAAAGAAAAAATAGAACTTTTCCCATATCACGTACTATTCGAGAGATTCACGTAAGACCAAAATATGTTTTTCCCTTTCCGTCATTCACAATGACGGGACAAATGGGAGCATAGGGTGGTTTTTGGCAGAGTTTTGCTAAGAACCCGATTATATTATAGATTGCAAAAATATTGAAAGTGAAACTGTGGCATTTTGCAGTGGAAAATCGAAAATTGAAAATTAAACTTATTTTGAATTGAATTGGATAATCGCGAGCATGGGCCGCATCCGAATTCCCATACAAATTTTCTCGGCTTAGACCTTAGAGTTCGTCCAAAAACGTTGCATTTTAACCATAACGCTAAATACTGCGCTGTGTCAAATTTACGTCAAAATTAAAGAAAAGAAAATCACGATAAAATGAGTAATGCATAATATTCGAGAATTAATCAAGCCAGCTTTTCTCTTTCCAAAAATTGCGAAATGCGCCGCTCATTCGTGGACTTCGTGGATTTCTACACTGCTGCTGAACAAATGGTTTAAAAAATTAATTAATCTCCGTTGAAAAATGCGGGAAAAAACGGGGGAAACAGGGAAAATACGAAGAAACGCGGATATTAAGATCAGGCCATAGTCGATCCGATGCCGCCAAAATGATTCCTGATTATTTCTGCCTCCGCGGTTTTAATTTTTATTCAAGTTTGTGTTGAATGACTTATTAATTGCAAGTAAATGAACTATAAGAGTTCGTCCAAGTCAATTATTCTTAATCATCTTGAATCGCTGTCACGATTTAAAAAAAACGAAGTGCCTCGTAATTTGACGAGGCTATAATCAGGACCAGGTGACTTGTAGCACCCGCGTAATAAAAACCGGTGTTAACGAGGCTTCATCAAGAGATCTCCTCTCTGATTGGGTCTCCCTTCCTACGACGATTGTCTTTCGGAATGGTCGACTACATGGAGTTGCTGTTATCTGATGATCATCAGATCATTCATTCACCAATGTCGAAAGCAGGAGGCTTACATCTATAACCTAATGAGTGTATTTTGGATGCGCCAGCTTTGTCTGTTCAAATCGTTTCTTGATGGGCTGTCTCGCGTGAAGCTGCTTGCTTCAACATTGCCTTGGAAGACGCTACAAGTACATAATAAAAGGTTTCCAACTTCGTCAGGTTTTGAACTCCAACGCAGTGCGTATACAGTAAAGTCAATTTCACCGGTTAGAAAATCAGTAATAAATTGCTACAGTACTTCATTATAATCATTATACCATCGTACTAAAATTTTTAATCGTTTTCAGGCTCAGCCCAGTAAACGCATTCAAAAATTTTGTTCACTAGTTTACCAAATTCAGCGCATTTAAATTATTTTTGTAATTCTGATGCACAGTATTTTTTTACTCAAAGTGTTTTCTATAATTCTGAAATAGTGAATGCCCAACAGCTTTAAATCGGTCATTTCAGAGTCGCTACACGCAGCTATCAAAATCTCCTGATGAGAGATTTTAGCAGTTCTTCAAATAATTCATACAGCACTGTGATGTCTCAATGAAATCTGTTTACGATAAAGGTTCAGCTCACAAGGCTTTTACGTGAAGCACGTTTTCTCACTGAAAAATGCTCAAACATTCCATTTTCACCCGAAATTAGGATGCAGTTAAATTATTATTGGAAAATATCGCTTCAACCGATTTTTCAATGTTTCAAAACCTCTGACGAGGATACCATCGCTCGTCTAGTCTAAAAATAAGGTATCTAAATTGTTCTTAGTTTGCTCCATATAGATGGATTCTGGAGACTTCATTCGAAATTTTTATCTTATAATAACCTGAGCAGCTTATAGCCGTATACAATACTCTATGAACTGCATTTTTCGAAAATGTATGCTCACCTCTGGTAATGTGCTAACAGCAATATTTTTAAAATACAGAGTTGGTAACGATGATTGAAAAATGCTAACACTCAGGGAAATCACCAAGATCTCCAATTCAAGTGAATGAGACTCGCTTATTTCTACTGATGGTCAATATAAAAGCACGTCCGCGATCAACAGCGTCATCGTGTTCTGTCAGCATTGAAAGTAATGAAAAATTCATAATTTTTTTAATTTACGAAAAATTCGGATGAAACGAAAGAAATGACTTCGTGTCCCCTTTCCGATCCTTTATACAAGCTACATCGTGAGGGGGAAAACGTCCGAACAGCCGCACATCATCAAGATTTGATTCTCATGAAAAATTGGCTTTGCTAGTTTCAAGAAAAGGCCTTAATTTGGAGACAATCTCACCAACTCCGGAACATCATTGCTTTTGTATATTGGATGACAATTAAAAATTTAAAATGAAAGCTGATTACGCCACACTTGCTGTATACCGCAGATATCCACATGAGTGGGGAGCTATTCTTGGTGTGACCCATCAACTGATGCACGTGGGCTATTCTGGGGTTACACAAGCAGGCAGCTCCTGCTGTAGATGAAATTTTGCTACCATTCCACAGCTACATTTGGTGCACAAATGTGGCATAATAGGAGAACACACAAGTGCACCAACTGTAACCTTGGAGGGACTTTTTTTACAATACAGTATGTACAAATGTGACCCTGAGTAACCCTGGTATGTTGGTGCACATATTATGGATATACTGTGCATGTACATGCAGTACAAAAGAAAAACTTTGGTATACTTCAGGTGCACAGCAGGGTCACTGTGTATAATTACAGGCATATCCCCAGTGTGCACCAATTTCCACACTTGGGATATGCTGGTGGGACCGCCTTGATGACTTTTCTCCAATGACATACTTGTACGTATATCACAAATAACCAAAAATAAAATAAAGTTTATCCTACAACAGCCTCCTAATATACAATTTAGGAACTATCCTTTGACCACCAGGTGCAATGCGTTTTCCAAAAGCTATCAACTACAGCATGAAGCACAGTACAGCACTACAATTTTAGAAAACGTTGTCTGAAAGTACAATTACCTGCATATATAATGAGAGGCAAGGATGCCTCCCTGTTCAATATCTGTACGAAGGAAGGGATAATTGAGTTTCTATCAGAAAATACGTATGCACTTGTATATTCTCTTCAATGTTATTAACTATTGTATAAACGCAGGTGCGAGAGGCAGCAAAATGGGAAAATTTGATTACATGCAGGTGTTATCACTCTCATTTACTCGTCCACTGCTTATATAGATAGATCCCCGCGTGTTTTTGCATATCTAGACGACAGGACAATATGATACAGTATATAAGCCCCGGAGATCCCAAATATTCGGAGAATTTGATCGAGGCAATCCTTCCGATACATTGCATCACAGCTGCGTTGGTGAATCGCGTCCGTTGAAACGGAATACGGTACACTGTACTGTGTACTGCGATTCTGACGGGACATTTTCTGCTTTTCGCTGCAATAATAATAGTACAGTACTCTAAGGTCTAAGTAATGGTCTATAAACTCTAAAATGCATAAGATTTCCATACGTACGCAATTTCTCTGACCAAAACTGCTACACAAGAGTACAGTATATATACAGTACGGTAATAAATGTGCTGAGTACGCACGTCTGCATGGTCGCGTGAGACATCCTTTCTCAATTATGTGAATAATTCCAAAATTTTTGAGCCTTTTGTTGCCAGAAATCAACCAAAAAATTTGCAATGAGAGAGAACGAATAACTGACTGAAAGGAAGATGCAGTATTTTAATTGGTCTTTAAAAACCCTCCGCCTAAATGATCCATGATTATTCATTCAAAGACATTTCAACAAACGCATCGATTTATTTGAAGAATTGATTCCCGCAATGGGTGCATTTCTGTTTTAATTTTTAATGGAGCAAATAAAAACTCTTCGATCGAAATGAGTTCGACGGGAGATTTTCAGGAATTCTATATGCCTCCATCATCTCGCAACGAATACTTCAATCTTCTACTTAGCAATGTAACCGCTACAGAAACAAGTTCGTTGATGGTAGAAAAAGCCGACGTAGGGATTGCGGCAATCCAGCAATTTACATCCACTCAACATTTGACAAAGCTCGATGTAAAAGCCGCATCCGACTAAAACCTTACGTCCTAGCTGAAACATCATCAAAGCAAAATGAAAGTAAAAAAGTTTCATCTTCGATTGGTTTTTGATGTACATCAAAAATCTCAAGAAATAGAGCCAGCAGAGATGGAATACAAAACGCTGATGGCGTGCCGATGAATCTGTAACATTCAGCTCTCACAAGGAAGCTCATATGAGGCAAATGTCCCAGTGTTCGACAGAATAGTCGTGACGGAGGACGCGATGCTCAATAAAAAAAATGTTATCCCAAAAGCCACTTCCACCGTCTCTTCGCCCGGGCATGCAAGCCTCCTCGACAGAATTAACGGAAAAATTGTAGCGAAATAAATCAACATCACTCAGCGTTTAGAATTCTAAGGAAATTTATTATATTTCCAACATATTTCAGAATATAAGGCAAGAGCGAGAAATGTTATGACGTCGAATCTCGGCTCCTAAAAAATCGTAGCAATGCACAGCGGGGCAAACGTACGCTAAGAGCAATAAGAGCGACAAAAATAGCGGTTGCGAATACTCGTGAATTGCGGCACGAATAATACTCATCAATCCCTGGAAAATTGTTTCCCCACGTTCATCGATTTGTCAGACAACAAATGAAATTCTTTGATCTTTCGTGTCAAGTTAAAAACGGGCAAATACAGACATACGAAAAAAATTAGGAAGAACAAAGTTCAGATTCCAAACGTTGTAGATATAAAAAAGTAGCTACTGTCGATTTCCTTCAAACAAAGAAACAATTTTGGTTCATCGGTAGCCCTCTTAGGCCTCACGAGGACAAGCGTGCTAATCGTCGAAGTTCATTTACAATAAACCGCCGATGAAGTTTGATATTCAAGCTTGTCAAGAGTTCCAACTTCTCCAGTTTTCTCCGAAGATGCTATCCTAATATTTCAAGGAAAGTGTTTAAATCAAAGATACAAAGCTGAAAACTAGCGCTTCTCCAGAGATGCACCACGCTCTTTGGCCATTATTTTCATTGTGTGCAATTTTTCGAACAGCTGGGCATCGCATAAATCTCAAGGCTGACTTTTTGGCAAGGCGGCTGAACACGCGGTCAGATGAAAATGGTCCACTGTTCGACAGCGAATTCAATCCGTGTAAAGTTTATACTTGAACCCACAAGTTGCTTCACAATGAAACTTCGTGAATACTCGAACTGCACGTACTTAAAACGAAGCTTCAAGCAGCGGCAAGCCAACAAATTCAATCCGTATATAGTTTCTATTTGAACAGGCAAGCGGTTTCACAATGAAACCAACCAATACTGAAAACTGTACTTAAAATGAAGCCATAGGATAAAGAGAAACGAGAAGCAGCAATTGTTCCCGGAGAAAATTTTGGATTCAAGAGTACATGGTCATTTCAACCCACTCCTCCAAAGTGAATTCGGCTTTCTTTTCTCCGTCAGGAACACGATCATTGAAAGACTCTGCGAAAAAAAAAAAAGATAATCAGAACGGGAATCAGTTCATAGGGTCTTGTTTTAAAAATAACAATCCCCTACCAATCATGGTCTTCAATTTCACGGCGCAAGCGACGAAATCGTCAAAGGTGATTTTTCCGTCCTTGTTCCCATAGCGTAGCACCAGAGAGTTCAGGATATTAGCGTTCAGATGATAACCTGCGGAGTTTAAGGCCCGTCGCAGCTCGAAAGTATTCAGCGTTCCTGAAGTGTCATGGTCATACATCTTGAAGACGTTCTGCAGAGATACGTTCGCATTGAAATGAAAAGAAATATGTAAAAATTAAAACCTCCATTAGAATGCAGTACAATAATCGAAGAAACTTGTCAATAATATCACAGATGAGACAAATGGTTTCGAGGCAATTTTTGAGTTAGCTAAGACGAAGATTCCTCTGAAATCACCATTGTGAGCAAGAAGCAATTTCAGGGCTACAATTAAAGAATACTTCAGCAATTGAGCAGATAGATTAGAGTTAGATCTCGTTATTGAATGCATAGCGGTTGTTGGACAATTGTGACTCAGAACCCGTAGAACTGGGCACCAATTTCATGGTTCGAACAATCCCTATAGCTAGCACATGAGTTTCGCGTCGAAATAATTCGCATTCATCTCGCAGTTGTGGATTTAATAGTATTGCGGAAGCGGCGGCAACATTACAAACCTTCCACATGCGGATCGTCATCCACAAGCCTTTGAATTCTTCCACTCCAAGTTTTCCCGATCGATCAACATCAAGCATGGCTATCATGCTACGGCAAACATCCTTGCTGAATCCTTCGAACTGGAACTCTGCAAAAAAATTTCATCAGCGCATATCTGCGAAATAATCTTGCAGAGAGAAGGTGCCGTCGTGCAGGTCAAAATTTTCCTGAACCCAATTTTTGTGATCCAAGAATTTCCTACAACGGCATTCATTCGAGAACATGCGATCAGCCAAACCCTTCAGGAGAGGAAAAAAATAATTCCAAAATTTGATATCCATTGGAAGAGTAAAGCGTCATCGACAGCCACCAAACCATCATGAGTGCAGGATCCTGTTCATATAAAGCTCCCGAAACTGTACTTTCAAACATAGTGACGTGCGATTTGAGTCTACCACAACGGTCCTACAAAGTGAGTTCGTGCCGTTCACGGTAAGACGATTTCACTTACCAAGACCTGAACACATGACCGAAAAATTAATTTCAGGTAAAGGGGTTCGTCCGGGACATTCGGACGAAATTACAGCGGCATTCGGGAAAAGGAAAGACACATATCGACGATCAATTACGAATTCTTATGGAGTAATAACACGTATATTGAACTGAAGGATTAACGATGCTATGCGTATGCCAAATATTGAAACTGAAAACATACCTTTCTTCAGCGCAAAATTAAGAACTTCCTGCAGCTCGCGCCAGTCAATTTCCAGATCTTCACCGGCAACTTTCTTGAAAAACGCCCTTACGGCTTGGTCCATTTCCGTCTGCTCCGGTTTTTCATTTTCTTCACGAACCTATCATTCATTCACGAAACTTAAGAAAACTGTCACCACCCAACCGGTTCACACAGAAGCAACGAAGCTGTAATAATCTCGAACGTGCATTGCGCAGTAGATGGCAGCGCCAGACATTGAATTTGTGTTGTTCTAGGTTTTTAAAATTTTGAAATTGATACGATGGGGCTAAAAAAAATCCCCCCCCCAAAAAAACACTCTCCATCATGCGCACACGTCAGTTAATCGGAAGAATCCGACGAGGCATTTGTTGGATCTAGACACAATTAAGAATTGACCGACGGTAAGGAGACGGGTGGAAAAATGCTGTTAATAATAGTGATGGGGCCACACAATTCGGAAAGTTATTCACATCACGCTAAAAACATACTATTCTATGTTAAACAAAAAACATTCTTATCGAAAGACTTGCTCTCGTCTTACTTTCGGCCGTCTCGAAGGCCTGCTTGGCACAACTGTGTCTCTGGGATCCTGTATAAATTTACGAGCATTTTGTCATTATGGATTCTGCCTTTGAAACACATTTCTTTGAAGTCATTGAGCCCTGCCCTAAAAAAAAGCGATATCTTTAAAAAGCTAAACCCCAAACGTACCTCATCCGAAGCATCCGAAATTCCAACAGATTCGTCATGTTCTCTGCGAAGCAAGGAAAAAATACCGTGACCACCAAGCTTGCGAAAAATGAAGAATATAAGCGCGAACTAAACTAGGGAAAAATGACAATGCCCACCAGAATCTTTTAAGATGGAACAAAATGACTGAGAATTTGCGGAGGAAACTTTAATGAAGTCCAACAGTCTACGACAAAGTTCTACGAAGCAAGGAAAATAATTACTCCATGTTGTTAGTATGTTCCGAGAAAACCCGAAGGAGAAACTCTCCTTCTTCGTTCGGCTCGAACGTCGACGGCACAATGCAGTATGTGCCAGGAGGCAACTTGAATCGACAGCTAACTTCGCGCAAATTGATGAACGACGGCGAACGACCCACAGACGCATTGTAGCGGAAGAAGCCCATATCCAGAGGTTTCGGAGCGCCGTCTGGGTCACTCAGCTGCACCAAAATAGATAAAATCAATGCATTTCACTCAGAATGTAGGCAAAGCTTCATAAGATCATTACGTGATAAATTGCGAATCCGATCGTGAGGCATTCGAGTCCCAACTTCCTTTTGGAGCGCCGATTCTTCTGCATCAAAGCTATTAATACAGAGCACTTTTCCTCGTCGTCGTCCTCATCAGGGTCGATCAATGTGATTCGATATTGCGGATTGTACCAGAACGAATCTATGTGAAAGCATTCGCGCGAGAGAATTTTTCATTCGAAATTTCATTCTCCGGAATTCAATAAGCGGGGTTAGAGACAAATGTTTGTTCCTTACCGATATAATTCCGACAACCTCCTGCAGTTGACCCACGAACCCAGGCACCCTCGTACACACTCATTTCCCACTTTTTCTTGTCGTCGGCTGGTTCCTCTTCATCCTCAAGAGAATCCGGATTCAGATTGCAGATTTCAAGACGCATGAAATTTTTCATGAAATCCTTGAAACTCATCCAAAACTCTCCATCAGCCTCGAATGTCAAGCCGATCTCATCTCTCTGCTCCGATGATATGAACTGCCACTCCTGGGAACTGAAATTCAACGAAACCAGGACCCGATAGCCCATTATTTATATTTTTAAAGCCTACGAATCAAAGGTAGGTTTGAAAAATGCCACGATTGCTAAGTTGGGTATTTCATAAGGTTCTGAGTGCTGGAACATGAGTTTATATCAATTTTTCATAATTTCCGCCAAAACAAGCTGAGGGCGGGATTGGGGAAGCATTTTCTGAAGAAAAAAAATGAGGCATAGGTGGAAGTAAAACTGATTGCAAAATAATTATTCGTTAATTAAAATACAGCCACCGACGGTCCGGTATACTCAGGACGTAGTACATGAATCCTGACAAATCTTGAAAGCGGTAAAGGCTGAGAGAAAAAAAACGTTGAGAAACCCGGAAAAAGACAATAGCCATGAAGATTAGTGAAAGAACGAAATGGAAATTGAATTAATTCTGCGATGCAGTTAATTCGAGACATAACGATGTTTGACCTGTGCGTTCGTGATTATTTGTCAAGAGCAGCTAGTGCATGCTCCCACGATCCCATTAAACACGAAATCCCGACATCTACAGCAACATACAAGTATATTTGTATATACGAGCGTTTGTTTAACAGCCAAGCGCAGTACTGTATATCCTCCTCTGTGTTTAATATACAGTAATTTTCCAACGTGCAAAACAAGCCAGAACAGTTACGCGAACTTATTTATAACACTTTCATAAACCTCTTTGATTTGCGATGTACACAATAAAACGAACATTAAGCAGCCAAACGCAGTACTGTTTATCCTTCTATGCCTTTAATTGATTTTTCAAAGTGGAAAAAAAGTAAAGTTACACAAACTTATTTGTAACATTTTGATAAACCTCATTCAATTTGAACAATAAAAATGAAAGAGGGATTTTGCTGAAGAGGAATTATTAGGGGATCCAACATGACATCCCCATCCAATGTAATCAACTGAAATTCTTACATGCTCAGAAATGGCAACACATGTGAAAAACAGCCATTCCCCAGGGATCCAAATTCACAAGGATCCTACACGAAAGCAAAATGCCACTCACATCAACTCCTCCAGAAGGATCTTATATTTGGCTTCTTTTTATCGTGCGTCGCATTTATAAAACCTCTCATGCTTCACCGAGTCTCCGAGCATGCCGCCCTTACAAATCAAGGCATTCTTCCTCGATATGAAGTAAAGGTACAAGATGGTCTTATATAGAAGTCTCTGAACCCTAAAGTGGGATGAGCTGAAGAACAAGAGCTTCTATAGATCATTCTACCTTTTCTTTTTCTCACAAGGATACCCATTCTGAAGCTCAGGAGAGTTTATTCTTCGTCAGATCCGACCGTGAACAATAAGGTGCAAGAAGGCTTTGAAAATCCCCAAAAAATGAAACCAGCAAAAATTAGCGGATTTTTTTCTTCAACGCAAGGGTTATCATGATCTTACAAGTTTCGAGATTTCCTCATTTCAACTGATCAGGCAAAACCTTACAATTTTCAGCAACTGCACGCTGAAAATTTCGCATTTAGTAGCAAAAACGGCGCCTATTTTTTCATGACTAATTCAAGAAGGGCGAGAACTCGAACATATTTGGCGGGAAAATTATTTACACATTCAGTCGACGTATTCGTACTCACGAGTCGCCCCAAGCCCCTTTCCACTCAGCCTCGTTTCCCCACGGGTTTCTAATGCGCACCATTGGGATCTTCCCAGACACCCGCGGGGTCTGAATGTTGATGTAGCAGACCTTCGTAACACTATAAGCGTGCCCCTTGATCAGCCCATTCGGACATTCAGCTTCAACGACGTTTGGATCAGGCTGCGGATTAAGAAAATGTCATTGAATAAGAGGTCAGCGACGGGAGACACGCGGAAGTTGATAAGGTCAGCAACTGTTCGGAAAGCAACTGCAATAAGGATTTTCAACGCCGAGTCTGAGGGACTCCGGAAAAGAGCTCGTGAAATCGAAATCAAGCCATACTTGGAATAAATTTCTCCATAGAACGCTTATTAAAAAACATTTCAGAGACACTCTCGATGATCCGGGCTATCAGAAACCGAGATTCCAAAAGAACAAGAGAATAATCCGATTCATCGAGAGAAAAACAAAGCGGCCTCAACACTTTTATTTCGAGTTGCTTTATTTCGGTTTGACACGAAACATTAAGCTTCAAATTCACGATAAGCACCAGAAAACTCTCCGAACATCAGCAATGAAAGATATTGAATCGCAATAGTTTTTCAATTGTTTAATGATTTGCTCTTCAACACTTTAATCCATGATCCGTACTTCAACAGTTTAAGATAACTTCGAAATATGTGAACATGTTGAGGTGCGATACTAATCTTCGGATAAAGTGGGACCCCGAGATGCGGACGTAACTGGTACTTGGACCTTGTCCCTATACACGTCGGAACGTCCGCATGATAGATTATGTTTTCCCGTTAGAATTCAATGGTAATATCTTCAATCTATTCTCCTGTTGATCAAAAGTTAGGAAAAAATCTTTAGAAATAGAATGAAATCATTTTTTTTCAACCTCATTATGCAGAAAATAACAGTGTGGAAGAAAACCGCGTAAAATCTGATCGTTTGGCAATAAAATAATTGCCAGATAATAAATCATCAGGAATCTATAATGGAATGTATACGGTACTTTATTTAATTTTTGTGAATACAGTACCTGCACTGTATAATATTTTTGATCAGTTTGAAATATATAAAAAAATTTAAAATGAAAATTTTCCATTTATTTATAAATGTTAGTAAGTGCCCGTATCTTGAGACATTTTCTGGGTGTCGGGACAAATTTCCAAGTTTCAAGTGTCTAAGTCGAATCATCCGTATCTCAGGGCTCCACTGATCATTATCCCATATTTTTCTACAATATTATAAGTCAATTATCCATGATATTCTACTTCACGGTAATCCAGAATAATAAGGATCTACAAATCAGATATTACAAAAACGTTCACAACAGAATGAATAGTGCGATGACTCTTTCACAATGATTGCCTTCTGCAGTGCTATTCGCTGAAATTCACACCGAATCTGCATATTTTTTGGTCTCTTGATAATAATTGCGGAGTAGAGTACACTTGCAGAGATATGAATGGGTTAACGGAAACCAGGACTGAGAGCAGGTATAAAATTTCTTTCCTATTCCTCACATCAATGGAGCAGCCCATCAGCGAAGAGCGCTCGTAAGCTTTCTGCATGATGTTGAACAAGTTCGGAGGTGCCTCCGCGAGATCGTACATCTCCGTCACACCGCCCGTGAAGTCCTCCATCGCCTCCACGGTGGTGCCACCTTTCAAGGCTTCGTAAGACCCATGTAGCCTGCAAATTTTTTGTCACATGCTACAAGCAGGAAATCTGAACAAACGAACGCTGAATAGCCTTTCCACGAGAGTCACGAAGTAATTAAAATTTTGGATAGGCACGACATGCGATTAGAAAGTTCGTACAAGAGACAAGGAAGAACAATAGGAGGGGTTTTCGTCTCCTGTTGAAAGCAGGTCGTTGCCTTCCCTTTCCAGTACAGTAGTTCTTTTCTTTATCTTTCGAGGATCGTACGCATCATTGCCATCAACCACACCCGTCATCTTAGAAAATTCGACAGGGAGCATGCCTTCGGGAAATTCTCGGTTCCGTCGACAGCGGTGTAGAGACTCGGGTTCAAAAAGACGTCGAATTCATCGTTTCGACTGATCCAATCCGCTTTTCGGGATTTTCCGAAGATTGACTCAAAATTGTGAGATTTCGGGATTTTCTCAAGCTACGAATGCTTCTCTATGTGTCGTACGTCGGGTCATACAATCTGCTTACGATATACTGTACAAGCATAAAATTGCAAGCAACATGGCCACTAAATTATTGAACTTTTCACGAGCAAAAGGAGCGTTCTGTTTTCCCTGCATAAACTCTACATAAGGCATTCACAAAAACTTCAAAAAATAGCAGGTAGTTAAAATGATACGTAATTTTTCGAATAATTTCCTGCCTTTGACATTTTAGTAGATTTCCGACAACGAAATTGCTACCATAAATGATAGTAAACTGCCAGGCATAAGCAGAACGTCAATCATTTCTTGCTCAATAAAAGTAATAATTCAGAACGATGATTTTCCACAAGTTCCTGTAAGGTCTCAGAGGAACAGAGGTTTAAAAATTGACCTAAATCTTCTGATAACAGCTGAAGGTTGACGTAAATTGTGTCGGAAGTATGTTCCACGCGTAGATTTAATTGCATGATGCACTGCAAGCCGACTTTCAATGATAATCGGAAAGGCAGGAATTAAAATGTGGAAGACTGGAAACAATTGCGACAATTCTTCTCACTGATTCGATTATTTGAACTTCCGGGGTCTCGAATTGAAAATTGTATGAAAAAAAAATTGGACCGTGCGAAGAGATCAGAAACACCCTCGTATTTTCTCATCGCACGAAGTTACGGCATTCGTAACATTTTTCGAAGGACACTGGAATATTCAAGAACGAACATCTATCCGAGCAAAAGAACTCTCATCTCATCCCGTACTTTCTACTCTCCGACAACACCTAAATTCTTCAGCAACTCCTCTCACTCCAGCGGCGTTAGAAATTAAGGCCGCCCGAGAAATTGGATGAAAGGCAGACAAGACTTTCTTCGGGGAGGGCGGAAAAATAGCACGAAGGCTGCAATTCCGAGCAGGTTCCCGAGGAAAGGGTCGTAACAAGCGCAAACCAGGGTGCGGTACCACTTACTTGGCATAGGCCTTCTCCAGTAGAGCGGACCAGAACTCATTTTTATCCTCGGAGTGCAGGAACACGAGCCGCCCGTAATAAGTTGGAAGACGGTCGTCAACGACAACGTCTACCCAGCGACCATACTGCCAAAACCTGTCGAAAAAAGGAACAGCTGCTTTTCTACACCAGCAGAGTCACGTGCTTGAAGGCGTATAAAAAATATGCCATCACTACGGGTAGTGTCGTCATGTACGCGGTTTGGCGCTCGGATTTTGTAAAAGCTGGACGCACGAGCTTGAAAAGGTCAACTGACAAATGAGGTTAGGGTTAAATTTTTTTTGGATAGATATTAACTACTGTATACGTTTCTTCACAGACATCCACAGCAGCAATGGCGAACATTTTGTACAACCAAGCCCAACATACACAAGTCAAAACCAATGCCGCCTTATCATTAAGTTAATCTTCAGGTTAACTTAATCCGACATGAAAATAAAAATTCGGAGAACGCAGCCCAGAAGGCAAGCTTTCGAGCAATCGCCCAGAAAATTCCAAGAAACGAATCAGACTGAATTCAAGCAACGACGAAAATAAAACAAAACAAACACAGGTTGTTAGCATATTTGGTGCGCTTTTCGTCGAGATCCAGTATAAACAAGCGTGTAAGTCGAATTTTTGGAGGAAGAGGCTGGCATTTTCTCAATTTTCAACTACACCAGGCATTTTCTCTGGCATTTTCACAATTTTCAACAAAATACCCTGGCTTGCCATCTTGAATTTTTTTTAGGATTCTTGTAGAGAAAGGGAAGTTTCCGGAAGAAAAATCGCGTTCATTGAAAGTTGTCGGAATTACTGCGACGAAAATTAATTTAATACTGTGTGATGACGCTTTCGGATTTATCTCTTAATTCTCGCACTTGACATGAAAATCAAGATCCAGTAAACCAAAATTAAATGCGCGCAGAAGTGCTGTCGCCCGCCGGTTTAATTCGCGTACAACGAAAAGTAGATTACAGCATGTTATTTGCTGTTTCAACAACAGCTACACGAACACGTGAAAAACGGGAATGTGATTCTTCAGAGTGGGTCAAAAGATAAAGAGCATTTCCACTCAAGCTAGAATCTTTTCGCACATTCAAATTATCCTGGCGGGTGTATCGACAAGAGGTTTTCCACAAATAATCGGTGAAGAGCGTTTACTCGCCTGAAGTGGAAGATGCCTGCGTATTCCTCGTCAAATTTCTGTCCATCTGGGACGACCTGGTGAAACAGCTTCGTATTTAGCGTGAGGTTCGCAGCCGCCGCGAGGAGCCAGCAGTCACCTAAGGGTCATCCGTCTAATCGTTAATCGATGCAACCAACTCAGTCGGGAAAAAACCATCCCGACCTCTGCGAAGAACAACTGCACATCTCGTTACAGTTCCTCGCAATAAACTAGCACCTGGGGGATTCTAATTCAAATTATACTATTACTTTTTTGTAACCTAATGACACTTCGGTGCGAACGGCAGAGAAGTTCGAGTAAGTTCAGGCATTTGAGTACAACGCAGAATTTCAGCTAAACTTTTCTGTTCAGCATGGAGCTTATGGTATAATCGAAATCGTTGATAATGGAGGCAAACAACTTCTACAATGTTAGCTGTCGATGACGGGAGTTTCAGGCATCAAGTGGTTAAAGCAAAAAACACGCGACATGTAACTTATTCTCAGTTTCTCACAAAAGATGACGTTATATCGAAATTTTTCTCGGAGACGGTATTTTTTCTCACATAATAAAAGAAACGATCCGCTTTCATTAATGTGCCTTTCGGGTGGTCGAGTACCAATGACTTCACGAAGAATAAAAATAAATATACATCTCGGTGACAATGTGCAAGGTCTTGCGACTTTGTTCACATGGAGGAAATTTTTATCGGCGATTCCGATTTCAGTGACACTCAGGGCGTCCTAAGCCTTTGACCGTGAAGATTTTTGCCAGACAAACAGAAGGCTTGCTTCAAGTTTCGGGATGAATCCCAAGAAATAAGAACGACCATTTTCATGACCTTGTGCCGAGACTGGGGTAAAAAGAAAAATTCATGTGGATATTAAAATTCGTGATTTTACCATTTCTTTCCGCTATTGGATTTATCGCATTAAAATGCATTAAAATCGGTGGGGAGCATATTGAAGCGAACTGAGACGTCCTTGGATGATGAGCTGATGGCAGTCTCAAAACTTGAAGCATATCCTTTGTTTGAATTAGAGTTAACTCGCCAAACAGCTTCCGTCTCGGTCGACAAGAAATCAACTACGTGAAGTACACACTCAAGTTTGGCGATCGCTGTATTTTTGCCAGAAAAGGGTTACAAAATACTGTACTGTATCCCGAAAACGCCATTCATTCCTACTCTGGCGAGGTTTCCGGATATGCTAGATACATACGCGCTCGAGTGAGCCATCTCTTTCCCTATCGGGGACACGGGGATGCTCACCTAGCTCTCCTTGCTTCACGTCAAAGCGAGATACACCCTCGACGAAGAATTTCGGGTCGTCGACAAGTTCCTGCAATCGATTCACGTCAGCTTGGTGTTCGCAGGGAAAATTTGAAGCAACGGGAACTCACATGTGGCCGCTTCCACTCAAATGGACGCGGGGGTGAGCGCGAATAGAAAATAGATCCATCTTCCGCCGGGAATTCCGTGTCTTCGAACAGAGTCCCATTGGCAAGACAGTCAGCTTTCAGCTTCGCATAATCCTGCACTTCGCCGCGGGCACGGATCCCACTGCCTTTCTCGCCAAGCTGAAAAAATTTAAGCCCGCAAACAGTTTTCATTTCCGGTTCACAGTCTCTTGTTCAATCAACGTCTGAATCATGAGTCCCACGCCTTCTAATCCCATTATGTCCCCTTCGCCGGCAGTCGGTGTCTATGCATGGACACGAAAAGCGACGGAAGTCGAAGTTCGACGCCGTTCAATATCTTGGGGGCGTCTCAACATCATTCAACGTCAAAAGCTCGCGGACTGGAATCTGAGGAACCATTTTTTAAATCACCTCGAGCATTCTTTCTCTCCCCAAAATCAACAGAAAAATGAGCCGATAAGCAGAAGGATCTATGATATTTGTTCAAATCTTTCCCGTGGATGAAAGCAAATACGTAGGCCTAATTTTAGAAGTTGCCGACAGGTGAAATGACGTGGGAACACCACATTGACCCAATTGAACACCCCCGCGAAAATGGAGCTTTTCGACACTTCGAAAAGCACAACTGAACGAGGTGGATTTGACGGAGGGTAAAAATATTGTACAATGTTTACTTATTTTATGGGTACTGTACATCAAAATGAACGTTAAGAAAATAAACGCGGAAAACATTTGCTTCAACAGCACCGACGTAATTTCACCGGTCCGTTACTTCCAGAGTATATACCAACGTCTGCACACTTGCAGAATACAGTAGTTTCGAACGAATTTCAAAACAGACGACATTTTCAGATACGCATCACATAAACTTTAATCAGCGTTCAAACATGCAACGGGTCTGGGAGAGGCACCCTCGGGCCTAGGCAACCTTTGTATTGGAAGTTCTTCCACCAGAGCTGAAGCTTCCGGAGAACATCTGCCGGTATCCAATTGTGACTCCTGTCCTCCTCCGCACACGATTCAAAGCGAATCGAGAAAATAAGCTTTCTGCTTACACGCACTCGATTCCATAATTCTTTCTCGCCCAGCAAAATGTATTGAGCTTTCGGGAAAGAAAGCATAAGAATTACGTAATCCATACCCTACGCTGCCGGAACAACTGCTGCTTGCATCCAGGAGTCTAGCTTTATTCCCGGCGGCTTTTCATCCATACAAGCGGTAATCTCATCCGAGAACCGAAGTAACTGCATAATCTATCCTGTCTAATGCGGCATCTGAGGGATAGGGTCAGATACCAGCATGAGATTATTTAGCATCCTCGTAGACTATCCTGGGATCAATACTTGCAGGTATGCTTAAAAGACATACTGTACATTCTGGATTTTTCTGAAATTTGAACGACTGGAAAACATTTAGGCATCAAGATGACTAAATTCCAAATCTTAATTAAACCTATCTCCAAAACAAAATCAATTAAGATAACAAAGATGTCTCCACGATTTCGGCTTAATCTGAAATTAAGGATTTCTTAATGCGAAATCGAAGTCGAAAAATTGTTCCGAATGCGAGAAAACGACCAGACTATTTAAGTTGTCATTACCACATTTACGGGATTATAAGTCGCTCTCTCACTCTCCTAATACTGCATATATATGAATACAATAAAAATATATATGAAAGTACATACTGTATAACGGAGCTTTGGGGTTTCCTTGTCATTCGCTCTTACGAGTGCACCGGCTTTTATGACGTTTACAAAGAAGAAAATGGACATTGCGGTAAACATTCCCACACGGTCATTCCTCTTCGAACAGATTTCGCTCCACCGTTTCATCGATGTGCAGTACCGTATAACAGTATTTTCGCAACGATCAATAGAAAATGTGACTTTTACAGATTGGGCAAGAGACAGGTTTGAAAGAACTCGAATTTGTCTCGTCTCCACAAAGCAATAATAAAAAAATAAGCAAAAGGGGTTCTGATTTCCATGAGAATTTTGAATTTAAATGCTTCAATAAATATTGAACTTTGAAGATAGGGTGGTTCTGACCAGGTCATTCGGAAAACATTGTCTGGATTTCCTTCCAATCTTTCAGATTTCCTCCTACCAAAATTTGACACAAAATATATAAAAAAGAAAACAGGAATCGCGAATCACCCAGTTCCACCAATGCAACAGTTAAATTTCACCGGAGTGCCCCACAAATTCACCAGAAGCAGTCACTCCAGTTATAAGAAGCTTAGGGTCAATTTTTTAGAGCGCCTTCGCTAAACGAGCATCCCTCCGAGGTCAGAGATGGCATGAACCGGAAATGGTTCATGCACTAGAAACCGACGAATTTCCATTTATTCATGGCAGGAAAATATGAAGGAAACTGAAAAGAAGTGGAATAAAGAATTTTGAAAGCATGTTTCCAGTGATCAATCATTTACTGTAAATTACTGCGAGTACTAGTCTCTGTTCGAAGTTGACGTTGTGTAGCAAATTTAAAAAATGTATCACGCGGACATCAGACCCACTTCGTATAATCCAAATGCATTAAAAATAGATGATGTACATTTGAACATGGCAAACATGCATATGCGTTTATTATTTACACAAATGCTCCATAACCCGGACCAAAATGGACGCACAATCACACTGATGAGTTGCGAATAAACTGGATGCAGGTAACTGTACTTTTAAAACTTCTCAACACTTACAATAGCAACGAACCAATGCTCAGTTACCAAAATATTGAATAACCCTAGAGTGAAGCTCCCAAGAGGTGCCATATAAGCGAATAAAGCCCGGATGAGCTAATAAGTCTCCCGTGGGATGAAATCGACAACCTGAAGAAGTAAGGAGTGCCGATATAGACTGACAAACAAGCAGCCCGCAGCAACCACAAAACGCGATGCTCGATAAAATCACGGAATAGGAATTCAATGAGATTCGTTCCCGCCAAAAAAGGGGAAAAAAAGACACGAAACACATCTAGACACACGATGCCTTCTCATCCTTTTCCTTCCTCTTCAGAATTCGAGTTTGATTACACAGGCTCCAGCGAAGCCTTCAAATGGCGGTACAGTACTAGGAAAAGTTGTCTCTCCTCTGCAACCGCCAAGAAGCGCTTACCGCATGATCGTTCTACGAGGGATCTCTTTCTTCAGCTCAATTCTTGTGATCATTCGAAACTCAATTGTACAGAAGAGGGAACTTTTTGAAGAAAAATCAAAGCACAATCTGAACTACCCCTGTTTGTAACAACTCCGGGCAAAACTCATCGATGGTATCCTTGAAGCAACAACACCCCCTCCCCCCCATCGAAATGAAACCTTTCAAAATTTTACAAAGACATCGCTTTTGATCATGGCCAAAATTGACGGATTTTTCAAGACCGATATCGTAAGAAAGGAGTTAATCGAGGAATACGTTTCACGAATAAAAACTCGGGTGCGGCGAATCCTCATGCTTTTTCGAAATTAGCCAAATTCTAAAAAAAAAAAATTGGTTTCTCACCAGAACAAACCACATTTTCTGTTACATTTCCCCATTTTTGCCATATTCACCAGTTTCCCTCGAATCACTGCCCAGAATCAAGGTGCGGTCTACAGTCGCATAAAGACGGTTGTGACTCAGGCACTTCTATTCCGACTTCGCTCCTGCTGCATCCGCTTCAAACCTCGTCCATTATTTTTCAAATTTTATCGAAGAGAATGATTAATCGGGAACGAAAGTATAGAGTAAAAAACTGGGCACGGCCAATAAATTAAATACTCCGGTTTATTAGCGGAAGGAAGAGACGCGAGGTCTTCTTCATAACCAAGAACTATGGTCGAGGAATAGGAGATTACTCACCTTGTATACAAGGATTTTATGAAATCTGTACGGCATATTTAAAGATCAGCATGTCCGGGAAAACTCAAGAACTAGAAAAGATGAGAAAAAATCCACGCGCAACAAAGATCCACCGCAGACACTTTTTGCCGCAAGAGAGTGCATCCATCCCAGGTCACCAGGAAGATGCGGACTGTGTTCCCGAGACGCCGGCAAGGCAGGCCTATATGCCTCGGGGCTCGGATCCCGCGGATACGACGATTTTCCCCAGCAGGAAAATATCTCAGGCCCGGGCTGACACACTAGCAGCGAAGAGGCCCCTACCCCAGACAAAAAGGTGCCCCGCGTGGGTTCTTTCCGCAATGTTGGGTGATGAACAGCGACGGGCTTCATTACGATTGCCACCATCCGTTGTCACACGTGCGACCGCATTCCCAGCTTTGCCACTCGCATGGGACACGGAAGAGAGGTGAACTACGGACTGCTGGGAAATTCTTACACCCAACAAAACGCGTTCGGTTTCTTTTTTTATTGAACCCGCATGAACGACGCATTCAGTGATAATTGCTTGCAATAAATTCTATAGTGAAACTTCTGGAAAATATGAAACACGAACCTAGGATGGTTGAAATCGTGTCGTTCAAGCCAGCAGGAGTACATGCGGACTTCCTCCACACCGATCTTGTCTACAGCGAGTTTCCCGGCATAACGATTCTTTTGGTCCCATGAGGTTCTCTCATCATGTTATCTCGTGATCCGTAACGAAATTCATGATTAATTCGGTTTATTAGCGGATTTTTTCCGGAATTTCGTTGCAGAGAATCAACCTGAATTTTCTCGAAAACTCGAGTGCGGCCCAAACTCCTGATATTCAGGCATAGGCCGCACCACAGTCAACTCGTGTAGAATTTCGAAAACAATTCGAATTCTTCCAGTGAACTTTGCCACTTTTACTCTATACAGGTGGACTCTCTCTCTCTCTCTTCAACGATCTTGTATACAACGAATTCCTTTGTACAACGAATTTTTATTTGGTCCCATAGGGATCTCACCCCATGTTATACTGATTCTCTACAACAAATTTCTTTCTGGTCCCCTGAGTTTCGTTGTAGAGAGAGTCCACCTTTATATGCCACATTTCCCATCAGAATTCCCTTTTATTTGCGGCCAGACAAAATTTTACTAGGGCACCTGGGTGGTTGGAAAAATTTTCTGAGTCATTTCTGCATTGTCAGTAAGCTGATGGTAGGAAATAAAAAATAAAAATAATTTAAAGGCGAAAATGGACGAAAGTGTCCATGAAAAGCATACACAAGAAGAAGCACGAAGTTAGGAGAGTTCAATCGGGCG